TGTACGTACCTGTGCCCTCCTGTTGACAAGGACCTCCAGAAGGCCGCGGCTCCTGCCGCAGGCGTCGGACCGTCGATTCCATCCGTGGCCCCCGACAGTACGAGGGCCTCGCCCGTCTGACCCGTCATCGCCTCTTCCAGCGCCACTCCTGCCGCGAGTGCCACTTCTTGGTTCCTGCCGCCTCGCCCTCCACTCCCCCGCACAGTGCTGGTAGGTTCACCCCCCGTCACCACAGCCACAGCGCCACCGCCGAAGCGAGCTCTGACAATGGCTGAACTCAGCTCTCTCCAATCGGAGATGCTGATTCCAGCTGTTTCGGCCCAGTAACTAGTGTCGACCGGCGTGGCCGGGCGACCCGCCAATTGGGAAGCGATGAAGGCGGCCAGATGCGCCAGGTGGCGTCCCAGCTGCACTGCATCGCCGGTCACGGTGGACGAGAAAGCCACGGGGACGAAGCCCAAATGTCGGAGACGGTGCGAGGCAGCCTCTATGGACAGCTTGTTGGAGCCAAGGAGGAAGTTGCTGACGTGGCTGAAGTCCCTTCCTGCGACGTTCTTGGTCCTGATGGCATCCTCCACGGGCTGCGGGAGCGACATGTTGTATTGGCGCAGCACCTGAATGGCGGCGTCCGGCGCGTCGGGATTTGGGACCGTCGGCCCGCTTGCGATGACCTCCAATGGGTCGCCCACCACGTCAGAGAGGATGAGGCTTAGTAGAGGAGCAGCGGACATCTGAGCCAGCCCACCGCCCTTGGCGAGGGAGATCGCACGCCGGACGGTGTTGAGCTCGTTGATGGTGGCGCCGGCTTTGCCGAGGGCCCTGACCAGGTGGCCCTTCTCCGCGAGCGAGAGCGGCGGGAGGGGGGCGGGGAGGAGGGACGAGCCTCCGCCTGATATCAGCACGATGAGGAAGTCGTCCGGACTGAGACCAGCGACCAGATGCATGATTTTCTTCGTAGTTTCTTCCGCGGCTTCGTCAGGGATGTTACCAGCAGCTCCTTCGAAGACCTGCACGCGCGAGTGTGGACTTGGCAGCATCCCCGGCCCTCTCAGGTCTTGCTGGATGCCGACGGGGACGCTGACGATCCCCCCTTGGAGGTGAGACCCCAGGAGCTCCTCCAGGGGCCCCACCATACTCAGTACTGCCTTACCGAAACCTGCGACGTAAACGTTGTTTCTTAGAGGGAACCGCTTGTTCCCTACGATCAGATCGTCGCCGTTTCGGCTCACGTGATTTCGGAAGAGTAGTGGCCCCGTCACCGCCGCTACACCCTCGCGGTACGCAGCTACCGCAGCACTCTGGAGCGTCTCCTCACTTTCTTGGTGGCGAACTCTCGCAGTTGCCTTTGGGCTCAAAGGCGTCTCTGAAAACGCATTCTGAACAGGACCTGATCCTATATTTGGCGGGAGCTGATTTGGACTAGTTTCTCCTCGATGCTGCTGGCCAAGGACGTTGGCGAAAGCGGGCGCTCCGACGGCTTGCGGGGACAACGCTTCATTGGCCTCAGGGAAGACGACTAAGGCAGGCAGGCCCTGGAACGCCATGTTGTCTATTAAATATGCAGAAAGACAAAGTGCGCGTACTTAGAGAGAGAGAGAGAGAGAGAGAGAGAGAGAGAGAGAGAGAGAGAGAGAGAGAGAGAGAGGGAGGGAGGGAGAAAGAGAGAGAGAGAGAGAGAGAGAGAGAGAGACAGAGACAGAGACAGAGACAGAGAAAGAGAAAGAGAAAGGGAAAGGGAAAGAGAGAGAGAAAGAAAGACATACACAAAGTGACATATGCTCAGAATAATCTAATTAAATCGTACATGAAAACAATCCAATAGAAAGATAAAAGAAAAAATGGCGATAAAATTCTTACGAGCTTACCAACAGGAAAGGATTCTCCAACGGGCTTGCTTCGTTCCGGCCGAAAGGGAGCGCAGGGGGGAAGGGCGGATTGGGAAGCGCCACCGATAGATACGGCCACGATAGACATAACAGCACAGCTATAATTTTCCCTGTGGTCGCCATGTCTCGTCTAGTAGTTATGAGAAAGATGGAAATGTATAAGCATTTGGATATGTGTATATTTGTACAGTTTGTGCTTATATGCATAAGAGCACGCGCACACGCACTCACGCAAACACACGTAAACACACACACACACGCACGCACGCACACACACACACACACACACACACACACACACACACACACACACACACACACACACACACACACACACACACACACACGCGCACACGCACGCACGCACGCACGCACACACACACACACACACACACACACACACACACACACACACACACACACACACACACACACACACACACACACACACATACATACACATACACACAAACGCACACGCACATATATGAGAAAGTTGGAAATGTATATGCATGTTAATATATTTGTATATTTGTACGGTTTGAGTATAGATCACAAACACACACACGCGCACGCACACGCACACACCTACCTGTAACCACGGAATGAGAGGC